ATTCGGGCGGCTGGGGAGCCCCCTCCCCCCCCAACCCCCCCCCCTGCAAAGACGGACCAGGAGCCTTTGCCAAGCCAACATCTTGGTTGGCCCAGCAGCAGCACATTCAAGGGGGCCAAATCGTGGCCAAATAATCCTCTGTAGCCCAGACGCAGCTCCGGATGAGAGAAAGGGGGAAAGAACCGCATGCGCAGAGCTGTGAAAGCTGGGGATCCCTTGGGGGCAAGAAAAGCCCCGCACGAAAGACCGGGAAGGGCCACTTCCCCAAAAGCCCCACAGCGCCCTCTGGCAGGCAGAGGAGGAATGGCAGCGAGAGTCTCCCCACCCAGCTCAGCTGCTGATGGCGCTCAGGGTGGTTCAGCTCCTCTCGCAGGCACCCCTTCCCACATGCTGGACTCCTTGGACCCCCCCCCCCAGTCCTTGCTTGGGAACATCAGGGAAGTGGATTTGCACCAGCTTCTTTCCGGGACAGTTTTTGATGGGGGAGCCCAGTGCATGGAGGTGTGATTTCTGCATGGTCCCCCATCCAAGAGCGAACCATATCTGACCCTCCTTAACTGAGATCAGCCAGCTCTGCCACGGGATGGGAGTTTGCGCAGAGCCAGGAAGTACCAATTAATCTGCCCGGGAAAGTGTGGATCACCCCCTTTGCAGGGAGGACAGTTTGCTGGAGAGAGGGGGACATTCCAGAATCAGCCCCCAGGCCAGGACCTTCATCCCACTCTCTCTCCTGCCTCAAAGGTCTCAGCTGCCTGGGGTTCAAGGTGGTGGGCAGAAACGCACAGCCTTTGTGGCTGGAAAGTCCATGGGGGCATTGGCGGTTTACACCCAGCCCCCCCTGGCCAGCCCCGAGATCCAGGTCGGAGCACCCCATTGGCCTCCCAGTCTGGGTAGGGGAAAACCCCCAAACTCCTGGAAGTTTGTCCATTAAAAATCAGCCGACATGATGAGGGTTCCCTGGCCGGAAGTGGAGGAGAGGCGGGTGAGGGCCAAGAAAGGGAGGGGCGAGCAACAGGGAAGCGCATCACCCACTGATGGTGGGGGGGAAGAGTTTGATTTCTTTCTCACGCTATAGTTCAACTGTCAGATCAAACCAGAACAAGCCGGAGTGACACAGGACTTCCCTAATACACAAACACAAACAGCTTCCGATATACAAACAGCCTGTTGTCTGCCCCACAATATGGTTTTTGTTTCCCCATAGAAAAATGCTCCTCCCCTGTGCATCTGCTGTTCAAGAAGGAAAGCAAATCACATCTCCAGGAGGCACCCTTTATTGTGGGAAAGCACAGACAGAACGCTTAGCAAGGACCCCCGCTGAGGTGGGAGTGGGGGGGTGGGCTGAAAGGGTGGGAGAACATTTACATATATGCAGATATAGTATATACACACAGCCCAGAGGAGAGGAGAGCCACCACTGCTGGCTGAGCAAGGGAGCCGTGTATGTGTGAAAGTGCCGATGGGCCCTTTCCTGGGTCAAGAGACACAGCGCCATGGTGTTGACTGCCTCCTCCAGGCCTGGCTGTTGGGAGATTACACTTGTCTCCTGTTGAACACCTCTCCAAAACTCGCCCGCCACTCGGATCCCAAGGATTTCCTGCCTCTTTGCCCCCAAGTGTGTCAAGAACTCTGCCTTTCTGTTGTTTGGGGTCCCCTTCCTTGGACAGCAGGCACCCAGGGATCCTTGCAGTAAACCCAGTTCTGCTCAGCGTTGTGCTCCTGTCTTTGGCAGGAATTCCATGATGCTACTCAGATGAGGAACGGGGGGGGAGGGATCCCAGGGCCAGAGAATGGGAATTCAAGCAACTAAATAAAAGCTGGGGACCAGCACCTGGGAAACCAGTTCTGCATCACACCAAGGGAACTTCCTTTGCCTCCTGATAAGTCTCTAGGACAGGATTTCTCAACCTGGGCAATTCAAAGACATGTGGACTGGGGAATTCTGGGAGTTGAAGTCCACCCCTCTTCATGTGGCTGAGGTTGACAAACACTGATTTAACCATTTAACTTGGTTCCAAGATGCCCAGCTTGTTCTGGTGAATCCCAAGTGCCCCCATGGTCAACCTCTGCCTGAGTTTTGCTTGAACAACCATCACCCCCAGCTAGCACAGCCAAGGGGCTTCCTGGCCAAGGACAATGGGAGTTATAGTGCAACATGCAGGAGGGCACCTCGTGGCAAAAGGCTGGCTCCACGGGGGTTCCAAAGCCAGGATGGGGCGGGAAGTTGCACATAGCAGTTGCAAGGTGTGTGTGGCGAACGCCCACCTTTTGGCTGTTTGTTGGGAGCCTGGCCTGTCTCTGCCACTTTGCCCCCCCCAACCCCAAGCTGAACTACTGCAAGGCGCTGTACCTGGGCTGCCCTTGAAGACCATTCGGAGGTTTCAGCTGGGCAGAAAGTGCTGGCGCAGGCAGTCTATGGTGTCTCTTTCCGGGTGCAGGAGACACGCTGCTGCCTTGGCTCCCCGCCTGCTTCCGGGGGCGATTCAGGGTGCTGGTGGTCACCTTTAAAGCCCTCCACAGATGGGGGCCAGGCCACTTATGGGACGTCCTCCCCCTGGTTGTCCCATCCGGTATGGCAGGAGGGGCCTGTTTGGGGCCCAGGAGGAGAGCCTTTTCTGCCATGGCCCCTGCCCTCTAGAACAACAGCTCTGTGGAGATCAGACTGTCCCAACCCTGCTGGCCTTTCGAAGGGCCCCGAAGGACCTGTTCTGTGCCGGAGTCTGGGGCCCTGGGTTTTTTACAGAGCCCCTCTGCAAAAGGGTTCCTGGCCTTTTCAAGTGATTCTTCCTGGCTGCTGTGTGTTGTGCTGTTGTTGTGTTGTTGTTTGGTTGTGTTTATTGCTGATGCAGCTGGATAATTGAGAAAGGCAAAGAGCATCAAAAAGAAGCCCATATGTGCTCCCTTGATGATGGAAAAGCCTTCAGTCGTGGGAAGTGCTGAGAAAAGCTGGAATCACAGAACATCTCCTGGTGCATGATGGCAGACAAGCCAGACTAGAGGGGCTGTTTTCTGCCTCCAAATCAGCTTCATGAACTGCAAGGGCTCAGTTCCCCCACAGCCACTCCCTCCTGCCACGAGAGGCTGATTCCCGCCACCCCCAGATCCCCAAGCCCTTCATCTCCTGGAGGTCAGGAGAAAACCCCATTGACCCAGAGAAGCACCCAGATCGGTCCCCCTGGCTTTTTCCAGGAAGGACCCGGTGCCCCTTTGGAGTCCCAGCAGCCCCAGCCTTGAGTACCCCCGGGGGTCTTAAGGAAACTTAAAGGGCATCTAGTCCACCCCTCCAGGCCCACAGAGAAAAGGAGACCCCGGCTGAGAAACCTGGGGAGGGCAAAGGAAGGGGAGGGTCCCCTCTGAGCTGGCAGGGGACCTCCTGGAGCTGCAGCCCCCCAAGGCTGAAAGGATTCCTCCTCCCACTTTCTCCGCTTCTTTCTCCGCTCCGAACTATCTCCTCCACGGGCGAAATCCAGAGAGGCTCTGCCCGGAGACTGATGACGTTGCAGAAGGGAGAATTCCCATTGGCCCGTCTGCTTTTCTGGGCGCTCCCAATGCCAAAGTCTCAGAAAAACGCTCGCTGCCCCCAGTCCAGACCCACCGATTCCGCCTCTGGGCTGGAAGCATCTGCGTCTTTCTCGTCTCTCTTGGGGGTTGCTTGTGGGGCAGCATCCATGGGCTCTGCTGGGGTCCCCCTGCTGCTGCTGGTGGGGGCGCTGTCCCGGATCCCTGGAAGTGAAGGGGGTCGGGAGCCCCCCGGTAAGGAGTGGGGTGCG